CAGTTGGGTTTTCCGAGTCATGATCACATAATAGGTAGTTTCATGTTAAAATAAATAATGTTATCAATAGTGTAAATTCACTTTTATGGTGATAAATGAGCAATGAAAGAAAAAATATAATTATATAATATACAAATTAGCCAAATGTTGTTTTCAATGTGGCGAATGGAATTCAGAGTTTCAAACAGAATAAAATTGATAATACTATTCGATCTGTTTAATGACAGCTAAATTAAAATCAAATACATTCAATAAATTTAATGCTTAACCGTCATAAGTTTACCTTTAAATTGTGCAAAACATTATAAAAGGTAAATTGAAAAGTTACGTGACACACTATGTATATTCTGAAATTAAATCCCATACTTAAAAATGTGCACAATTGCAGGTTTGAACTCGGAAAACAATAATCATTACCTGAGATCTTCATAACCTGAACTCTCTACGCTACTTGGACTTGCGTGTCTATATCCACTTTTATTTTTCTATATTGCAATAAAAATGCAAAATGTAATCATTAAAGAACTTGTACAACCCATGAAATCAAAATGGTACTACCGATTAATGCAAACGTTATCGTGTTCGACTTATAATTCTCCTTAAAATCGTTATATAGGTTTACACTACCGATTTGGGAGTAAATATTGTGTGCATTTCTTTTCTATAATAATGTGTTTGTGTGGTCTTTATTTATTCTTTAGAAAATAACGTGTACATAGTATAAAAAAACACTCTAACTGGAAACGTACATATATTTCGAAACTTTGTCTGTGCAGGGATAGAAAACCTTTCACACAAATACACGTATATGCAATTGTAACTTACATAAATTTACAGCCACTTATGTATTTCTTTGCATTTTAGCCACATTCTCATTAATATCATATCCTAGCTGACGCTCCACATTTTGAGCAAAGAGCGGAACGAATGGATTATTCCAGTGAGATTTTATTTCATATTAGACCCAATATGAGACGAATGTCAAACTCGTTTTAATGTTATCATCCAGAAACTATGATTATGTATATCACATAATTTAAAAATGATTGACCACGATGGAAATGCAAATTCTATTTAAACATTGAAATTACCTCCCTGTAGTATCCTTTGATTCGTATGATTTAACTTCTGATATCAGTCTGAAATTTTTTAGAGAATAACACAGATTAAAACATATAATTTTCCACCTTTTTGATTATTATAAATGAAGAATAAAGCATCTCCTTGCATTAATGTAGCTATTGAGAACAATCCAACTTACATGAAACATTGACAACTCTCTTACGATTTCACTACTTAATGAAATTTGTAAATATCAAGAAATAAACTAATACAAATTCATTCATTAAAAGATTCTAAATGTGTCAATATTTACCTTAAATTCTCCTCCCTTAAAACGTTGATCATTGATTTGTCTGTTATGTCTAATTCTGCTCTTATCTTGACACTAAAATAAAACGCTGCATGGCATTAATTAACTGCTCTTGTGTTTGTTAATGACAAAATGAATGTAAGATACAATATTATTTTTGCAATAATTCCTTAAGACTTGTAAAATAGTGTTGCATTTTAGAAAATCTGTAGAAAAATGATACAAATCACTATTTTTGGTCAAGTTGTGCAATTGTTTACAAATAAAAAGCAACCAAATGGAATGTTAAATATCTTTTATATTCTATGCTATTTTATACATACATAAAGAAGGTATGTGGTTTCTGTGGTTTTGTTCCCGTCTAATAGTATAAAATCATAATATAAACATTTAGACTAAAAAGTAAAAAGAAAAATGCAACATTTCTCATGACAATATATGAATATTTATAATACGTACGGGTCTAGTTTATTACGATATATAACTATCCTTTCCTTCAATTTGTCTATCTCATTTTGTAGCTCCTCTGTGTCCTTTTCTTTTGGGTTCCTTTTACTGGATGGTGTACTTGTAAAGATAATCATGCTTTTAGTGAGTGAAAGTTTACCTATGATGGTAAACGTTTTGATAGTTTATTGATTTATAAGCATCATTTTCAAACATTATTTTAATTGCATGTCTTAACATTATGTTTTTAGGTATAAGATACTCAACAGCTTTCATGACCATTGAAGGGAATACAGTCTTTTATTTGATTCAGGATTTTTATCATTATAATACTATTGTTACTCAGTTTTCTTTCTCTATTCAATTTGTCATTCTATTTGTGTCCATACATAAATACCTAATAACAATAAAATATTGTTGTACATCTACAATGCTACCTAAGAACTTATTACTTCAAGGTGTTTTTTTCTAATTTCAAACATTTTGCTGGTAATAATTAGCTGAATGTTAGATTCATTTATAAATTTGGTACCTGCTATTTTCAAAATAAAGTACAAATAAAAACCTACACAGTAAATAATTTGAAAGTTGACTAGATCATCCAGTATACTGCTGAGAAATTAGATAAACTTTCAAAGAGACCCTACATTAAGTATATTCATGGAATTTTGAACAAGACTCTCACTAGAAATAGGGGATGATTTGACACAATTACTTCTGTTTTGTAAATAGATCAGTTTCCTTTCATGTACTCAGTATGATAATAATAAAAGAAGTTCATTAAACAGAACTGTATTTGACTTAACAACATAAAATTAACCTAAAACAAGCTAAAATTAAACTGAAGCAAGTATATACTGGGCTATTTTTTATTTTCAAATTAATGATTTAGTCATGGTCATATGCAAGTAGAATAATGATTAAAGAAGTTTGTGATTAAGGTACCCAAAAGTCAAATAAGTGTTTCTGTATCATACATTAACCATAACGCTTTGTATTCAGTTGGATATTCTGAGCCATGATCATATTACAGGTAGTTGCATATTAAAATATATAATCTAATGACAGAGTGTTACACTTTCATTCACTTTTAAATTGAAAATTGTAGGGTCAAATGAAAATAATTTTTTATGCTTTCTGATGTGATCTTTATAATATTTTGCAAAACTTGACTTTATGGTGCTATATGTATGCGTATCATCATGTAAAGTCGTACATTTTGAAATTAATAAAATGAAAAATATGTATATTATCATAATTATGTAATTAAAAACTGCAAGAAATGAAACGCACGATTCATTAACTCATGCTTTAAATAATTTAAAGAAATATTAAAAATCAGTTTATGAAAACTATTATGAAAAAAGGTCTATTTGATGTACGAACTTGCAACAATGTGGTCACAATACCGTTGTATTACCACTAGGCCATCGAGCAGTTTTTATTGATTTAATTAATATCGAGATCTATACATTTATTAAAACCCTAAGCATAAATCGTAATAAATCACGGAGACCTACGACCACCCCACCCGAACCTTAATGAGTCACATGTCAATATTTTCAAATAATACCTACAAAAAGCTCGAATTCCCTATTCCTTTTATTATCTGTTAACATCAATATTGGCAAATAGGGATGTCGATAATTTCTATACATGTATAAAAGTGTACCATTTATCGCCTAATTGTTTTACCACATAATCAATCACTCATGATTTATGCGTCGTTATGGTAGAGAATTCGCTCTGTTAGTGTAGATACACTGGTTGGAATCCTTGATAAGCCATTTTTTCTTTTCTTTTTTGTTTTAAAGGGGGGGGGGGGGTATTTAAAAAAAAGAGCTGGATTTTGGTTCTGCGTGAGTTTTATTCACACATTGCTCATTGAGAATACTTTGTTGTACACACATTCGCATTCGACATGTAAGTATAAGACAACACAGTCTTGATTAGGGTGATAAAGGAGCAATGGAAGAAAGAATATAATAATTTATTATATTATAAACAAATTAGCCAAATGTTGTTTTCAATGTGGCGAATGGAATTCAGAGTGTCAAACAGAATAAAATTGATAAAACTATTCGATCTGTTCAATATCAGTTGAATCAAAATCAAATACACTCATCAATGATGCTTAACCGTCATAAGTTTATCTTTAAATTGTGCAAAACATTATACAATAGAAAATGTAAATTTACGTGACAAACTATGAAAAGTATTTTCTGAAAATAAAAACCATATTTTAAAAATGTGCACAATTGCAGATTTGAATCAGAAAAAAAACATGTTCATAACCTGAGATCTTCACAACCTAAACTCTCTAACCACTACGCTACTCTGATCTGCGTGTCTATATCCACTTCTATATTGCAATAAAAAGGCAAAATGTCATAAAGAACTTGAACAACCCATTAAATCAAAATGGTACGACCGATCAATGCAAACGTAATCATGTTCAACTAATAATTCTCCTGAAAATCGTTATATAGGTTTGAACTACCGATTTGGGAGTAAACATTTTGTCGTTAAACAATCTCACTCGGGAACGCTACAGACATACCTTTTGGCAATATAATTCGGTATGGATATAATAGGGTGACAAACATAGAGTCATTAAGACGGTCTCAAAACGTTTTGAAAAAAAAAAATTGTTTGGCTTCAGTCATTTATTAGCTGAATATTATTATTTGTTTCTTAGTTATTATCAATAGGAAAAATATTTTTCATATGTATGATTTATAGAATATTTAGAATTATCTTATTTCTTATAAAGATCCCGTCTATCATCTAATAATTTATTCAGAAAAATGTCCATAACTCATAAAACGTACGGTAAAGAAGTAAAGACGTTTTGAATCTGACTGACATATGTTGTCAATTTTTCAATTCCTTATAGTGCACATTAGGGTTGTCTTACCTTTAAACAAAGTTTTTTTAAACTATGGATCTGGCATCCGTTGGATCGATGGTGGTAAATGTGACTGTGGTTAAATACATTGTTTATATACATTTGTTTAATTTTACCCTTACTATGTATTTCATTATGTTAAATAAAAAATGGCCTGTATAGGCTATGACAAAAAAAACAGACAGACAATTGGACAAAAACACTGGATATCTTATAAAATTAAGAATCCTAGATAAAGCTAAGAAAGTAATTTAAAGATTTAACATACCCTCTCTTGTATTTTGCTGCGGCGAATGATTTAACAGACTTGTGGTTGGTAAACTTCTTGTGAAAGCCCAAACACTGTTCGCACAGAAAATGTCCCAAAAGTCCACAATCATTACAAAAATGAGTAGCTTTCTTTGAAAAATTACGATTGGTAAAACAAACTGCACATGGTTCCTTTATATTTTCATCATCGTCCCCTGCAAACGAGGCTTCCGCAAGTGATTCGCTGTCGTCTTTAATATTAACTTCACTAAGAAGATCTGACTCGTCTTTAGAATTAGGACCTCGAACACTTAACGTCGATTCGCTGTCGTCTTTGGTCTTTACTGCACTAAGAAGATCGGACTCGTCTTTAGAATTAGGACCTCGAACACTTAAAAAGTCGCTTCCAGAGGCACCACGGGGATTGGAGGAAACCAAAGATTCCTTAATACGTTCCGTAGTTTGATAATTCATTTTTAACCTGTGTTAATATATCCATTTAAAAGCTCAGTAATTTTATCATGTCATAAAGTAAGGAGTGTCCTGTTATTTTCATGTTGCGCTGTATGAAATAAGTATCAAACAAAATAAACTTCCCTATCAGTTTAAAGATAAGCCTTTCAATTTTATTTTGTAGACTTAAATTTTATTGGGCTATATATTTTAATTTGTATATAAAAATCGATTTTATTTTGGCAAGTTTTATGATTTGAATGAAGACCTAATCTATTTACATTGTAAAAAGATATTTCTGTCACCGACTTAATCAGATCCATTGACAGTTTTATATTTGTTACAAAATGCATATTGTGCAAACTATTATATCTTTTGAAGACGATCATGTGATCAAGTCTCTATTTTAATGTTACACTATGTTGGCTGATTTGTGCAATTCGTGTTTTCGCTCCACGACCCCGCAAAGCGAACAGTGGAGATTTATCAAGTTATAATGTCGGGCGCGGAGCGAAAACACACTAACCAGCGGGGGCGCGGGACGAAAAGTCGAGATCTAATTGTGAAATAGCTGGGCTACGAAGAAAAATATTTATTGTTATAGGGCGCTTATTAACGTGCTGTTGTTTTCGCGCCTGCCAAATTATTCTACAAAACCTTCCTTTTTACGCTCCGGGCCTACGCTAATTAGCGTCTTTTCGCCCCGCGCGCCCACTGGTGTTGGTTGACACCAATCTGTCAAAAACAATTTTAAAACTAATATGAACGAAAGTACAAGAAGAATATGTAGTCAATGCTCTTGTAAGTACATCCCATAATGATGTTCACTGAATCATGTTAATAGAATATCGCTCGTTTCTAATATTTTTCATGCTTTTTTTTATTTTTACATACTAATACATTCCAGCAATTTTACATTACTCTGTTATTAATAAAGAAATGGCAATTAACGCTTGATTATATATGTATATCCTATGAATAACATGATAGTCAAAGCTAATCAAGGAAAATAATGTTCGATTCATAATGTACAGAAGAATTTGCTTTTTAAGTCTAGGTCTACATAATTCAAACGTGTTTATCATTAAGACTGAGCACTTTAACATTGATTTATTTTTTAAATTGTACTAAATGATATACAAATACCTCATTTAAACATTCTGTACTATAATACTCTTATTTTGAGATTTAAATTTACTACAACTTATAACAGGTAGAAATCGCTTATTACATTGAATAACGACTGTAAGTATTAACTACATGTATGCAAATGTATGCAAAATAAACGCAAATGCATTCGCCATTCTGAAGAAAAATCATATTGCTAAAACAATATGTTGACACTATATAACTATATCAATACAATGTTTGGTCGGTACAACAATTTTAATTCAAGATGGAAAAAAGGTCAAGGTAATCAAGTTAACAAGTTACATTGAAAATAACACAATTTTCAGTGAAGTTCATTTAGCCAAATATGTATACATATCAGTATTAAAATAAGTTTAAAATCCTCAAAGTGATAAAAAGCAATGATTTAATAAAGCAAAGCCGATATTTATTCGACACAGACATTAATAATCTGAAATTACCTTATCCGATTTAGGTCTCGAACTTGGCAAATTCGGAAGAGCCAAATACTGTTACGAATGTTTTCTTCATGTTCCGCAGATTTCTTCTTTCATAAATCAGAAACATCCTGAAAATCATGAAAAATAACAACTTTTTAATAATCTGAAAGTGTACGGTGTTTCAATCGTGTCACTTAACAAAAGTTCTAACCGATCACTTTTTAAATTTTGATTATTTTATAACGGGTCAATAGATCCTTATAAAATTTTGCAGAGGTGATTTTTGTGTCATTTTCTACCGATTTGTGGAATGAAAAATAATTTAATACGGTTCCATGCACTCACGCGGGAGACAGGGCGCGGTTTACACATTTTGGCACGAAATGTTCGTGCAGAGCGTGGTGAGTATTAAATTTTACATTGCATAAATCCTTGTTAACTTTATAAGTGAAAAAACATAAAACATGGCACGAATGTCGATGCAGGATCGTGCCGTAGCAGTTGGAATGTTGAATGCTGGAGCCTCTATCAGACAGGTGAGTGGCTGTTCATAAAAATAAAAAAAAATTAATATCTATAAAGTATTATTTAAATAGAAAAATGTTATAATTTTATTATTCTCAATGTGTTCATTCTCTTCGAAATAAAATAAAAGTCGGATCTATTGGTATTATTATTTTTCATATATAAGCGAAAACTCGGGGTGATCGGTTAGAACTTTTGTTAAGTGTATATATTATGGCAATACTATAACAATATGGCATAAAGTAGATTAAATATCGAATTTTAAGAAAGAAAAATATATATATATAAATATATTTTAATTCTTAACATTCGATATCTAATCTAATTTATGCCATAAATGTCCGCAGGATATATTTTCTTTTGTAAAGTATAACACAGTGACCATTTAATAACGGTCTGCAATTTTATCACCTTTCCAACGACTGTGTTTCAGTTCAATTTTTGATATTATACAGTACACACGTATAGAGATTTTGTGCATTATACAGTACACACGTATAGAGATTTCTGATGAAGGCATAATACGCCGATAATGCTTGGGTATTTATACTTTAGCACTGTATGAACGTTTATCTATGCTCTTGTATCCTTCTTGGGATCCAGTGTTTTTGAAAGGCATTTTGTAGATACAAACATCTTTCACAAACCTATATATCTGCTGGAACCGGAAGTGTTGTCATTCATATAGGACCAGGGAAGTCTGATCACGCAGTCTGACCAGTCTCTATACTTCCGGTATCTTAATATTTATGTGGTGTTTCTATTATAAAAAAGTAGTTCATATTTCAGAATATTTCTGTTTTAAATTTGTTGCTTTTTTAGAGATCTGTGTTTCTAACCTGTAATGTCTTATAAAGATGAGCAATTCCCTTTTCTTCAGTTTTGAATTCCTTTTCAGCTTCTTCGTAAGCATCAGTCCATTTCTTGTCATAAAGCTCGCAATGTTTCTCCGACAATTTTGTTGGTCTGTTTTCATCACTGAGGTATAGTATGTTTAGATTGTCGCTTATGATATTAGCACCAACAACCATGCTCAAACTTAAATTCCAATGAAAATATTAAGAGAAATATCAAAGAAGGATATTAAGAAATCTTGATCTGTTATTGTATTTTACTTTTCAGGTGAGTATTATTAGTACAATAAGTCTAACAATAATATCTCTAGGTAAAAACAATATATTCTGAGTCAATATCATCTGACCGGCCCAAAAGATAACATTTACCACCTTAAGTTAAATAAATGAAACCTTGTGGGTATTCAAACACAGGTCTGTTCTTAGAGGATATAGCAAAAATAAATATAAGTAACAATTGATGAAATTGAGTGAAGTTTATTTTTCAATTAATGATAATTAATAACTTAAGTAAATATCAGATACTGTATAAAGTTGCACAGCAGCTGCTGTATTAAGGTACAACAAAGATGCTGTATAAAGTTACAAAACACCCCCAGTAAATAACACAGCTGCTTTAAATGTTACAATGCAGCTTCTGTTTTAACCAACAACATAACTGCTTTGTAAAGTTACAACACAGGTCCTGTAACGTTACAACACAGCTCCTGTAAAGTTGCAACACAGTCACTGAAAAAATAACAAGAGGGCCATGATGGCACTGAGTCGCTCACCAGAAACAACTGCTTTTCAGTGTTGGAATGTCAATATATTTAAATACTGAATTTGAGCATAGAATATGTTCAAACAATAATTTAAAGAAGTGCCATGACCTGGGGTATTTAAGCTTAAGCTTAAACGGGGCTAATCAAATTAATATGAGCAAACTTGATAAAAGACTACCTAAGAATACTACAAAGTTTGGTGATCATCTATCATTTATTCCAGTAGGAAATGGTGTTCGAAGGTGTTTTTTCTATTTTTAGCTTTAGTGGCCCCTAAAAGGGGCTTATCAAATTAATATACGCAAACTTGATAAAAGAGTACCCAAGAATGCTACAGACAAAGTTTAGTGATCATCCATCAATTGGATCTAAAGTAGAAGATGTTTAAAGGTTTTTCTATTTTTAGCTTTAGCGGCCCCTAAACAGGGGCCAATAAAGTTAATATGAGCAAACTTGATAAAAGATTATCCAAAAAATGCTACAGACAAAGTTTGCATAGTGATCATCCATTAATTAGTTCTGTAGGAGAAGATATTTAAACGTTTTTCTATTTTTAGCTTTAGCGGCCTCTAAAAGGGGCCAATCAAATTAATATGAGCAAATTTAATAAAAGACTACCCAATTATGCTACAGACAAAGTTTGGTGATCATCCGTCAATTAGTTCTGTACCAATAGATGTTTAAATGTATATCTATTTTTAATTTTAGCGGCCCCTAAAAGGGGCAAATCAAGATAAAATGAGCAAACTTGATAAAATACTACCCAACAATGCTTCAGACAAAGTTTGGTGATCATTCATCCATTAGTTCTGTAGAAATAGACATTAAAAAGTATTTCTATTTTTAGCTTAAGTGGCCCCTTAAAGGGGTTTATCAAATTAATATGGGCAAACTTGATAAAAGACTACCCAAAAATGCTACAGACAAAGTTTGGTGATCATCCATCAATTAGTTTTCTAGAAATAGACATTTAAAAGTATTTCTATTTTTAGCTTTTGCGGCCACTAAAAGGGGCCAATCAAATTAATATGAGCAAATTTGATAAAACACTATCTGAGAATGCTATCGACAATGTTTGGTGATCATCCATCAATTAGTTCTGTAGGAGAAGATGTTTTAAGGTTTTTCTATTTTTAGCCCTAGAGACCCCTAAAAAGGGCCAATCAAATTAATATGAGCAAACTTGATAAAAGACTATCCAAGAATGCTACAGACAACGTATTGTGATCATCTATCCATTAGTTCTGTAGAAGAAGATGTTTAAAGGTTTTCTATTTTTAGCTCTAGAGATCCCTAAAAGGGGCCAATTGGAATGACATGAGCAAATTCAAGAGGATGCTACAGACCAAATTTGAAGTAAATCTGCTTAGTAGTTTCAGAGAAGAAGACGATTGTTGACGCATGACGACAGACCACGGACGATGGACGCCGGAGCATCCCCCTTTAATACTAATAGCTCACCCTGAGCCTTCGGCTCTGGTTAGCTAAAAACACAGATGCTGTTTTAAGTTACTACACAGCTGCTGTTTTATAAAATTGCAACACAGGCGCTGTAAATATTGACAACATAGCTGCTATAAATAGTTTCAACGCGGCTGCTGTAAATTGTATAAACAAAACTGCAGTAAAATGATGCAACACAGATGCTGTAAATAGTTGCAACACAGATACTGCATAAAGTTTTAAATCAACTGCTCTATAAAGTAATAATGCACCTGCTACACAACATTGCAACACAGCTGTTGTATAAAGTTACAATGCAGTTGCTGTATGAAGTTACAACAGAAGCTGCTATATATAGTTGCAACACATCTGCTAAAAATGGTTACAACGCAGGTATATAATGAAAGCGAGGCTAAAATGATAAGATTGGTTCATATAATGATTCCTAGCGGAGCATCGAGTGGTTAAAACTTTGAAATGTTATTGCTATTTTTTTATAAGGTGTAAAATAAAACTTTATATTCAGAGCAAACAAGCCCTAAACGCTAGTGCAGAAATCAAACGTGATATAGATGTGGAACAACAGAGAATTGAAGAAAATGAGAGGCGGATGGCAAGAATGAAAGAAGAAGCTATAGAAGGTCTTGCAGCTATTGAAAGATTAGCCCTTGAAAACGGTTAATGTTTTATTATTTAACGTTCAGATGATGATCAGAAAGAAAAAAACATAAAACGATTTTAATTCACAGTACTGTTATGTCCAAAGAAAAAAAAATCATCCCTTCGATCGGCTGATGCAAGTAGTAGGAAAGCTTATTTGAATTAAAAAAAAAAAACAAGGAAGCCAGCAATTAAATATCATTGTTTTAGATGCTTGCGAGTTCATGCAGAACTATAATCTTTAAGGCAGCTTATGCCTCAAAATTTTCCATTCATACGAGTACTAATAACAAACATTACTTTTTTAAAATGTTTAAATAATGGTTTAAAAGCATATAAGATGCTTATTACCTGAGGAAAGGGGCGCTGATTGTGAAAATATTTATCATAACAGTAACAAAATGTAAAGAAAGTGTTGTATTTTGACATCCATGCAACATACTTAATGAATATAACTAAACTTTTTCCCAGATAGCAACAGACACAAAATAAATATTAGGTGATTGGCAATTGAGTAACCTGTAAAATGTGCCATATTTCAATGGGAAAATTAGCAATTGATAATTGTATTTTAAATACATTTTAAAGGCCATTATACCCAAGACATGTTTTTCTATTTCATTTCATAAACACTTTTATTTTTCTTGTTCAGTAATAGCTTTTAACACATAACTCTAAGAACCTCATTGGCTGACTACATGAACAATATTTCGCTTTTGATGCTTTTTGGTAATTAGTGCAGTTATAGTTATTCAGTATTTTGAAAGGAAGTCAAAATACTACACTATTTAAATTTTGCTACTGTTCTGATTATTTTTTTCTCATCCAGGACTACAGGTCATTAGCATTTATCACTAAAACGTTGTCTTTTCTAAAAAAAAAAGGTTTATGAGGCATATGTGCCTTTAAGCATAATGAATTATTATTAATTTCAGTATCTATAAAATTTCATTTTTTCTATTCAATCTAAAATTTTGTTATTTTTATCAATTTACGCCATAACATTGGCAAAAAACACTCACTTTGAAACAAAGAAAGCAGCTCATTTTTTTTAACAGCGGATCTTATGAATGAGGAAAGTCTTAAAATGGCTGGAGCAGAACTAGGGAAAGTTGCACTGCTTTTTGGAAAGATTTTACTGTTCTGGGAGGATTTTTCAGCAAAGTTAACAGCACTGAAAAACACACATGACGGAGTCAAACTTCTCATAGAGTTTGTAAATGACCCTGATCTAGCCGAAGATATTGACGACTCAGTACTACAAGTGAAAAAAGTAATTACATTATTTTCATCCACTCATCTAATTTATATTTGAAATTCTTAAAGAAGGACCAGCATTCAAAAATACCTCCATTAAACAATATTTCGACATAAAGGTATATCCATACATTCTTGCCAAGTCAGTCAAACGTGAGAATTGTAACAAAATATTTGTTTTAAAAAATAATTTCTTAATTAAAAGCCCGATATAAAAACTTTATGTATCAGGTTAGACCTAAAAACATTACATTTTCAAAATATGTGATTGTATCGTTAAATAATATCAATAATATAACGACGACAATTTGGAATTTCTACACATTACACATAAGTTTATATTGTATAGTTGTTTCATCGAAAGACAATTACAGTGCAAGATATACCAATAAAACTATTAAAACGCTGTTTTCTAAAAGAAATAATGCTCTTTGTCTTTTATCTTTTGCCTTAGGTATGGAATTCATTTGGGATTATGTGTAGTTACTACGTTGACGAGAGCGTGAAACAACTCCCTGAGCTATACGCTTTCATGGCTGCTCCTGTGGATCAAAGCTCTGTTAAAGAATGTGGTGAAAGAAAAAAGGCACTCCTTGCGGCCCATAGAGCTGATATAAGGGCACTTGAAAAGAAAATTATATAATCCTAAAATGTCTTTGATATAATGATATCCATATTGTAAATAAGGAACATGAACTTTTATTTTCTCGTCATTGTCTAAAACAAAGTGGTGTATCGTTTGCAAAAGCAAGTTTGCCTTAAAAACTTCCGATGTTATGTAAAACTGATATTGTAATATAGGCACAATGAGTTAATGAGAAACTTTATAAATATAGTGAATAAGCAACATCTATTTGACATGGAAACTTAAATGAAACATTCTTCTACACTTAATTAGTCACACGTGTTTGTTATGTAGAATCATATATAAAACCATGTCATTAAAGGTTACAGGCAATAACAATTGTCATGAAATCAAATTCTATTGGCTTTGAGCGAAATTTAATTTGTTCTAGCATAATTGTGCTTACTGACATACATTCATTATTATAGTACCAAATAAACTACGAGTTTTCATGTATTTATCTTGTTTGTATACTTAGATGTATTTAGTTTCTTTGTGTGTTGACTTTTAAATCTAAATTGTATAATTATGCTACTTAGATGTAAATATAGATGTAAATACAGTAAACTTCGCTTATAACGAACTCACTGGGACATTCAAAACCTGTTCCTTATATCCGGAGTTCCTTGTAAGCATATAGCGAATTAGTTCCTTGTATCAGTAGTTTTTATAGCGAACAGATTTACATATAACGAACTGATTGTTTACCATTGTCCGCCATTTTGAAGAGAATTTGATTAAGTAATAGAAATATTAGTCATTTATTTATATTTTAGACACACTACCCGAGAGCGTACTTTTTGGAATTCAAAAATCATTGCTATTTCAGTTTTAGTTTTACTCCTTATCTCAATTTCACATAAAATATAATATTTTGTTTCTAAACTATTTTCGTTTTCTTTCCATGATTGAGAATAAACAAGATTTTCAATTTATTCTTCCATTTATATTGAATATCTTCTATTATAATTTAAGGGTGACTTTTACTTATGTAAGATATAGATTTCTTTTCATTTAAATCAAGCGTACTTTGCAGTTTGCAATGGATCATACTTGCAAGCATACATGATTATGTTGAAAACCGATTATAAATTATTATAATTATTTTACTCCAGCAAAACTATTGAAGAGAATAAATAAATAACCGTTTTATCTTGGTGAAAAGAGCTCATGCTAAAAATATCCAAAATAGAAAACTATACAAATTCATTTGAATAGATGTATTGAGGTACATACAATGATAAACGGTACATTCGCCCGAGTTTTAATCCGTGCGTTGAAAATGCAAGATCTATTTACGGATAGTCAATATTTTGGAGTTCGTTATAAAAGTGTAATTTTCTGTACTATTAACTAAATTGGGACTAAAAAATGAGTTCCTTATAAGCGATAATTCCTTATAACCGTGTTCGCTATAACCATATATTTTTATATTAAATAAAGAAGGCCAAAATTCGGGCCAAAATAAATTGTTCCCTATAACCGGAAGTTCGCTATAACCGTGTTCGCTATAAGTGAAGTTTACTGTATATAAATATATGTTGATATGTGTGCTATAATCAAATTGTCAGTCTAAATTCATGATAGATATATCGAAATGCCTTGTTTTGACAAAGAAATATGTACTTCACCTGTGATGCTTATAGAGCATAAAGTTGTCTACGACAAGTTATAGGCATTTTCATAATAAATATATCTATTTGTATTGAATGTTCTTGATAGACCTCGTTTCTTTAGGAATTTATACATGTACCAGCAGGTGTAAAGTGTTGTGCAACAGCTGTACAGTGATGCCCCGAGCTTCATCTCAAATTTGCTCATTTTGTCTGATACCTTTGGGATCTTTGATTCAAATACAGTTAGTGTGATCTTTGATTCAAATATGGTTAATTTTGCAAATAATCATTTGGACCTTTGATTCAAATGCCGTTAATGTTGAAAAATGAGTGGTTTAAATGAGAGTTTAAGCAGCTGCATGATGATTTGGGGAATGAGACATGTTGGATCAATGTAATATGTATCCACAATTTATCTTAAGTAATTTGTTTCTATTCCCATACAGAATATCTTGATATTTACATAAGTTAAGCAAACTAACAGGAAGAGGAATCGTAATAACAGGGTGTATTTAAAATCGTTATGTAAAAGGGAAACATCTGTCCTAGTATAAAGTAAAACTGAGTGAGTAAAAAATCAAATAAACTTTAAGATAATAATGTGTAGGCTACGTGGAACTTATTTGTATTAAGCGTTTTATTATATATTTATATAGAACCAGTCTAGATTTTCAACATTGATCAGACAGACGTTTGCGTAGCAAATTATTATCAAGTTTTCAATAATGCAGTACGCATGCAACTAAGAGCATATTGCTAAAGTAAAGTAACATAAAATGTAATGGGCTTTTAAACTAATTCCCGTCAAATGAGCATAACTTGTATAACAAAAATACATGATCATCAAATCATCACAATTATAAGCGAATTTATACTTAATATTCATTTTTTTAAATATCTTTTGAGACTATTAAAATTATTGTGCGTGTGCTCATGTAATCTAAATTGAGCATTTTAGCATAATTAATTGCATTTTTGAAGTTACAAGATCTACTTTGGATAAAAATTTCTAGATACATTGTATAAAGACAAAGAAACAAAGAAATGAACATGATTTATTTCACACAGCTCAATATAATAAAATAAAGACAAAAGGTTTTCGCATTTAAAGTATACACCGGTACAAATGTAACATTATTTTATTCGGGTCATCGGATTTCTCATACGTTTTATCAATATTGGTACAATATAGTTCCATTTCAACCGTCATTTCTTATAAAGGAATCATACTGTTTTTGCTTATGTGTGGATTAATTGACGTGAAATAGTTATAATGGAAATGTTTGGGAGTTGATACATTTATAAATGCACAAGAATGTATCTCACACCTATCATCACTCTTGATGTGTTTATATATATAAATCATAACACGTGTACTATGTAGCCAAACTTTAGTATTTTAATAAAAAAAAATTAATATAGATCATCTCCTTAAATATCATATTACTGATGCATTTTAAACAAATTGTATAAATCTTTTATCAGCTAAAAGTTTTGTATCTTACAATTTCATTGGGTCGAAAAATAGATCAAAAACGATTTCATTGCAGCTACGCAGATATTAAAACCTAATGATATTGAAGCCAGATACGCTAAAATATTGAAATTTATTCATGTTTAAATATCTTAATTATTTTCCTTGAGCCACGCCTTTACAAAGCATCGGTCCTCCTTTATGTAACAGCATTGGTGGCCATACAACATAGTCAACCAGTTTGCCAGTTTTTGTGTACGTCCTGAATTTGTCGACATCAAAAGATTTCCCATCCACGTCAGATGTATCAAAAATGACAGGTGGATTCTGTGAATTCATCAGCCAACAGATTTCAACACACTTCTTGATAAACTTCCCTGTGTTCTCCTTTTTCGTAAAATTCAATTTCTTTTCGTGCACGTAATTCTGTCAACGAAAGACACAACACGTAAACATATTAAATGTATGTGAAATAAGTAAAGAGTGATTGATTGACATTAAACCGAAAAAGATTCGGACATGTTGTAAATTTTAAAGTTGTCTTATTTAGTGTAGAAGGGGCGTCCGTGGCCGAGTAGTTAAGGTCGTTGACTTTAAACCACTTGCCCCTCACCGCTGTGGGTTTGAATTTGACAGGGACTTTGGATTCTTTCATGTGATGAAGCTATCCAGCTAGCTTACGGAACGTCGGTAGTTCTAGTCAGGTGCCCGTTCGTGCCTGAAATAATGCACGGAAGGGCACCTGAGGTCTTCCTCCACCAGTAAAGCTTGAACGTCGCGATACAACCAATACTGTGTCGATTTGACGTAAAACCGGAAACAAACAAACAAAATTTAATGTAGACAGAGTATACATACCATGTTATTAAAATGTTACCTGAAAAACACTTTCAACAAGCATTGGGGCGAAACTCTTTCTAACTTCCCTTAGTTGGTGTTGGTTGATAGCACCAATCTGTCAAACACAATTTTAAAACTAATATGAACGAAAGTACAAGAAGAATATGTAGTCAATGCTTTTCTAAGTAACATCCTATATTATTACCCCTCACTTTTTTCGTAATACTAATTTCCCATAGGTCTCTGGGAGTTATTTTACTGTTAATGCAAGTGTACCACGTGACTAAGAATTTTGTACTGTTACATAGGTAACAATATTTTTTAACAGTATAAAATCTGGTCACGTGGTCTATTTTCTAAATAAACTGAAATAAAATGGCCGCCATTTTTTCTCGATTCATTCTTATTTTTGACGTTAAACCCCGATAGGACATCAATTTCTTCTCTGGAGTAACTATGACACTCATTAAATTTAGTTGTCCGCACCCTTGTGTGCTTTTCGCGTATAAAATATTTTTTTGTTGAATAGTCAAAAAGTGAACATCCGTTTTCAACGGAAGTAATTGCAATGTAAATAATTATGTGTCAAACTGGAACATGCAGACGATTTAAGCATGCAACAAAGGATTATTTAACAATTTTAATCAGTGAAACGTTACAGATATGGTGGACAGACATAGGATATCATCGTTATTTTGTCAAAAACCATGCTAAGAATATTCTGGAAACAGAAGGGTCAGATTTCACAGATCATAACCGTGTAAATGGGTTAGTGTTTTGTTTTCTAAATAAAACCTAGCTTATTGTATGTTTATGATTTGTAGATATCATCACTTGCTTAAGGAATAAAAGAAAAAGAAAACTTCTCAAGTAGGCCTAAAGTACACTTAAAACTTAAAAGGTAAGGACAGTTATTAATAATCTTGGTTTATTTTTGTTACAGTTAGATTTAGTTAACCATTCCAGATCATCACAGTATTTTTGTTCGGGGTAATAAAATAAATAAAACATGGGTTTGTGAGCAACAGTAAAAATATCATCCCTCGTAAAAATACTGTTACCCTCGGCTACGCCTCGGAACAGTATTTTCCTCGGGATGATATTTTTACTGTTACCTACAAACCCATGTGTTATTTATATAATGATGTTCACTGAATCATGTTAATAGAATTTTAAATTACTCTGTTATTAATAAAGAAATGCCTATATGACTGAAATACTGTTGGGAATAGGCGTAAAATAATGAAACAAACAAACAAATAATAAAGAGATGGCAAATTACGCTTGATTTAATTAAATATGTATATCCTATGAATACCATGATAGTCAAAACAAATCAAGGCAAATCATGTTCGAGTCATAATGTACAGACGACTTTGCTTTTTCAGGTCTAAGTCTTTATAATTCAAAAGGGTTTATCATTAAGACTGAACTCTTTTACATTGATTTATTTCGTAAAATGTACTAAAAGATATACAAATACTTCATTTAAACATTCTGTACTATAATACACTTATTTTGACTTTTAAATTTACTACAACTTATGACAGGTAGAAATCGCTTCTTACATTAGATAACGACTGTAAGTATTAACTACATGTATGCAAATGTATGCAAAATAAACGCAAATGCATTCGCCATTCTGAAGAAAAATCATATTGCTAAAACAATATGTTGACACTAAATAACTATATCAATACAATGTTTGGTCGGTACAACAATTTTAATTCAAGATGGAAAAAAGGTCAAGGTAATCAAGTTAACAAGTTACATTGAAAATAACACAATTTTCAGTGAAGTTCATTTAGCCAAACATGTATACATATTAGTATTAAAATAAGTTTAAAATCCTCAAAGTGATAAAAAGCAATGATTTAAACAAGCAAAGCCGATATTTATTCGACATAGACATCAATAATCTGCGATTACCTTAGCCGATTTGGGTCTCGCACCTGACGAATTCGGTAGTGTCATAATACTGTTACGAATGTTTTCTTCATGTTCCACAGATTTCTTCTTACAAAAATCAGAAATATCCTGAAAATCATGTAAAATAACAACTTTGAAATAATCTGAAAGTGTAGGGTATTTCAATCAATTATGGCATTAATTTAACAATATGGCATAAACTAGATTAGATATCGAATCTTAAGAATTATAAAATATATATATATTTCCTTTTGTAAAGTATAACACAATGACCATTCAATAACGGTCTTTTCATAATATATGCAATTTTATCACCTTTCCAGCGACTGTGTTTCAGTTCAATTTTTGATACTATACAGTACACACGTATAGATATTTTGTGCTCTATTGTGTGCACATTATAAATGTACTACACTCCTGAAGAAGGCATAATACGCCGAAAGTGCTTGGGTATTTATACTTTAGATTTGTATGAACGTTTATCTATGTTCTTGTATCCTTCTTGGGATCCAGTGTTTTTGAAATGCATTTTGTAGATGCAAACATCTTTTTCACAAACCTATATATCTGTTGGAACCGGAAGTGTTGTCATTCATTAGTCTGACCAGTCTCTATACTTCCGGTATGTTAATATTTATGTGGTGTTTTTTATCAAAAAGGAGTTCATATTTCAGAATATTTTTATTTTAAATGTGTTGCTTGTGTAACCAAGTGCTATTTTTAAGGTTTTTGCTTTTTCCCAAGAAAGGTAACTATGTCGGCCTTGTTAAATTTTAATCTCTTTGTGTGATTCTGTCCCCTTGACCAAATTTGCTATTTGCTCAACCATAACGTTTCGCTCCTAAAGTTAGGGTCATTTATACGGTCATTCTTTGTGTTATAGAAGTTGTTGGTCATTGTGACATGTAGATGTGTTGGTTTTTACTTATCATAAAAGAATTATATTATTAATAACGATTTGGATTGAGGAATTGGTATTTGTATGTTTTATTCATTTGTTCTTAAAAGTTCTAATGTCAACTAAATGAAGACTTATAGTAATTAAATACAGTTGTGGATTTGATAAAAGTTATTTTGATAAATTTGTATTGTTCTTGAGTGTTAGAATTCAAGATGGCAGCATATGTTCTTATCTTATAGTTATTCCCATAAATCACTGTTTCTATTTGTATTGCACTGATGTTTGTAAATTACAGTTAACAGCATAATTAACAGCACAGTGAGACAGGTGTGAGTGACAGAGGTACATGTATACTTACAGAGTCTGATCAACAATTGGTATGTTATATTATATTTATATGTCATTGTTTATATATTTTTGGAGCTATATGTATATTTTTAAGTTGAGCATAATTGTATATTGTTTTATAAGTAAATGATTAAGTGGTCACTAGATGCAGGTACAATATGGTGTAATACATTTAAAGATGTATTTTATGTGTACATGATATATTTAGATGAGATACAATGAATGGACCATTCATATAGACTGATTTGTTTATAGAATATTAGATTAAGTATATTTAAGGTACTGTAGTGTATACAAATGTATAAAACTATATATTTCATGATAGTATGGGATGTTTGGTTTTTATACTTTCAGGGCTTGGTAACTGTGATGTAACTGTGATGTGATATGATGTGTACTGTATGTTGTATGATATATGATGTTTGATGTGAAGATGTACATTGTAACCTGTTATTTATAGTGTCCACTACATATTAAATCGAAGAACCAGTATTACCCTCAGTTTTGTTCTTTTATTTATACAAGGCAAAACGACATCGGGGTCACACTTTTTCTAGAGCTCTGTGTTTCTTACCTGTAATGTCTTATAAAGATGAGCAATTCCCTTTTCTTCAGTTTTGAATTCCTTTTCAGCTTCTTCGTAAGCATCAGTCCATTCATTGTCATAAAGCTCGCAATGTTTCTCCGACAATTTTGTTGGTCTGTTTTCATCACTGAGGTCTGGTATATTTAGATTGTCGCTTATGATATTAGCTCCAACAACCATGCTCAAACTTAAATACCAAAGAAAATATTAAAAGAAATACCAAAGAATGATATTAAGAGATCTTGATCTGTTATTGTATTTTACTTTCCAGGTGAGTACTATTAGTACAATAAGTCTTACAATAATATATCTAGGTAAAAACAATATATTCTGAGTCAATATCATCTGAAAGGCCCAGTAGATAACATTTACCACCTTAAGTTAAATAAATGAAACCTGGTGGGTATTCAAACACAGGTCTGTTCTTAGAAGATAGAGCAAAAATAAATATAAGTAACAATTGATGAAAAATTGAGTGAAGTTTATTTTTCAATTAATGATAATTAATAACTTAAGTAAATATCAGATAAACGTACTCATCGATATTATGTTGTTCAGTCTTCAGATTTTTATTTTCACTAAAAAATTTTAATATAACAAATACATTTCATGTTTAATAAACATATAAAAACAATGAATTTAACACAACCTCTACATCAGTTTAATACACATACACAAATATTTCGAGGATATTATAAGTTTGTTGAAGGTTATAGAATGTAACTGGAAAAAAATGTATTTAACGAGATAAGACACCAGATACTTTTGAGCTTCGGTAAGATTATTCTTAAGTTCAATAATTTCTTTATTGCATCTGCCTGTGATTTTGCGTTGAAAGATGAAACACGACAGAAGGTTCAAACAGAGAAGTAAAGCAAATCTTCAAAGCAGGATATATCAAAAAAATATTCTTTTTGTTCAGTATAAAAGTCTTATAAAAAATATCTTTAAAAATCTTACTCATCCTTCTTCTTAATCGTTTGCCCATGTTCGTCTTTAAGCGTTTTAATTTCACGTTCCTTTGCTTTGATTTGTTCCATCGATTGACGAAGTTTTCTGAAAATGTATGAAACTTATACACAAAGTAATTTTTTTCATTATCTTTGATACATATCATTATCATCGTTATGGTATATTTAAATTTGAAAATGATTAAGACATAAAAGTCTGATAACAATTTAAAAGAAAAATCTTACTTATCCTTTATTTCAAGCATTTTTCCGTGTTCCTCTTTTAGCGTTTTAATTTCATGTTCCTTTACTGTGACTTGATTTTCTGATTGACGGAGTTTTCTGAAAATATATGAATCTTATAAATTTACTTAATATGAACTTCACACTTAAAAATGACTATTAAACTAACATTTTATAATTTCATTGTTTTTATTATCTTTATAATGGTAGATTTAAATCTAAAAATGATAAAGATATTGTACACACGTACAGATGGTTGTGAATCAAGATGGAATATCAAAACAAAACAATATTTAGTTAAAAATAAATTCTAAGTCACTATCATCTGACTGGCCCGATATTTAACATTTACCGCCTTTAGTTAGTTTCCTTACGAAGTGAGATAAATGGAGCCCGGTAGATATTCAAACACAGGTCTGTGGTTAAGAAGATAAAGCAGAAATAAATGTAAATATACAAAAGGTGAAATAAAAGGAAAGTGGAGTGTTTTCTAATATATAGACTTAGGTGGGGGCGTGGACGGTGGTTTGCACTGACAGTACCGTCCATGAACAGACTCAATCAAACCGAGCCTGCAACATTTTCAATCATGCCGTTTTGGGCTTTCTTTGGGGATTCTCATTTCTCTCTATATAAAGAATATATTAAATAAACTTACTCATCGAGATTATCTTTTTCTGCCTTCAGATTGTTATTTTTACTGAAAAAGATTAATATAACAATTAACTTGATATTTTTGAAATCATTTCAAACTAGATAAACATATAAAAAAAACAATGAATTGATCTCTTTAAAAAACCATTTCAAGTTTAATAAACCTTTAAAAAAACAACGAATTTTTAACATAACATTTTACATCAGTTTATGTTTAATACACATACAAAATGTTTCGAGGCAATTATAAGCTTGTTAAAGGTTATGAACAGTAACTCAAAATATTGTTACGAGATAAGACACCATATACCTTTGAACTTCGGTAAGATCATTCTTAAGTTCATTAATTTCTTTTAACGTTTGCTTTATTTCATCTGCCTGCTGCGATTTTGAGTTGAAAAATGAAACACGACAGAAAGTTCAAACAAAAATGTAAAGAAAACCTATGCACATATTTACTTTAATAATACGAAGATATTTCTTTTTACCCTTTATTTTAGATTTTTTGTGAATATTAAGGCAAAAAATATTTGAAAAAAAATAAAAAAGGAAGGGTTCAATGAACGCAGTCTTCAACTCACACTACCCAGCAACACAGGACCACCGGAAAGGAGCCCAGCAGGACACCTAACAAAACAAGACAGGGCACAAAGCAAGCACATACGAATCCATTATTTTATATTGAAAATAAAGTTTTTGTTTGATATTAAAGGCATGATTTAATTCCAACACAAAAGTTTTCCTCTCAGCTGTTCAGAATAAGTGGATTTAACGATATGCCCATTAAACTTAGGAATGAGAGTAAACATGACCAAAGCAAAAGAAAATGATAATGTTTTATCCCTTTTCATCCTTTATGTTAAAATTCATGATTTTGATTATTTAGAGACTGATTTGTAATAATAATTTGGATGAAGTTTGAGTGGAATAAGTGACACAAACCTCTCATCTGAATTTGATGAATTCTTTTTCAGGCCTTCCAACTGTCTTTTACTTATTTTAAGTTGTTCCCTGTAAGTAAAACCATTTTAACAAAATAAAAGCTATAAGGCCAGACTGATAATCACACTAGAAAGTACTTATTAGTATTATTTACAGGCTTAGGTGTAATGCTATTTAAGATGTCAAAAACATTAAAAAGCATTTATCACTATCATCTGATAAAGAAACTGATACCTGATACTTTCACATTCATTTTCTAGCTTATTTTTCTCAATTTCAATGTTTGTTTTCTCTTTTATCATTTCTTGAATTTGTTTCTCCTTTTCTTCGACTCTTTTTCTGAAAAAAAAAAAAACCGAACGCTTTTGGATATAATCATGATTAAAAGAGAATAACATGCTGCTGTCTTTTGATATCAATTTCATCAGGCCAGGCTGATATGGGCTAGAAAGGGCGAGGCTTGCCGAGCCCTTTCTGCCCATATCAGCCTCGTCTGATAAAATTGATATCAAAAGACAGAAGCATATTGTTCTATTTATCATGTAACACATAAACACTGTCAAAATAACAAAATAATCTACTTTTAAGTAGTGAATTTTGTAAAAAGGGGGATTTTTGTTTAAAGAAATTCTTGAAAACAAATTCCTCCGCCCCTGTAAATGGCGGCCATTTTTTCTTTCGCCTCGGATAAAAAAATACAACAGAATGTAGGCCTTACACGATAAAATTCTTACCTTTAATTTAAACATTGATCAAAAAAATCCCTTAGAATCACATAAACTTTACTGCACCTTTTGTCTTGAATTGTCAAAATCAAAAGTTCATGACAAAATTCAAATCGGCAATAAATAGCGAATAACAGGTTACTGTCTTTTGAGAAAGGGTTTCTCAGACGAGGTTAGATATGGTCCTGGAAGGGGCGAGGCTTGCCGAGCCCTTTCCGGACCATATCTAATCGAGTCTGAGAAATCCCTTTCTCAAAAGACAGTAACCTATTATTCTTTTTTATCATGCCTCTATTATGATTTTGCATCTTATTTTTTTAATTCGGGGCGCTAATTTCTGAAAGTACGGTAACCACAAGAGGGTTATACGTCAAAAAAGTAGTCCGAGGGTTTTTACCAATAATTTTATAACACAGCACAATTTTTGGTACAATTTGCTTTAACAATTTATTTACTGTGTATTATCATAAATATTCAGCAAAGTCAATTAAACAATACCAACAATAAACATCATCAGTGCTGATCTGGCGTAGGAACATAGTGTTCTCAAGTCACTGACTAAGAAAGGTTGCTGTTCTCAGACAGGCTTTATCAGGCAGTTGTCATAGTAATGGCATGATAAATAACAAACATGCATCTTATTTTTTAAACGAAACAATTTGTTCACTTATTAAATTTAATAAATAGTAATCCGGTGAAATAAAGTAAACATTTACAAGTTCTCAAAGAAAATCGACTAGCCTGTTTGTTATGATTACATGTATAGTATGACGTGAACATCAATGATGTTATTTGTAATATAAATTATGACGTCTCTTCATTTAGTTGGTGCTAAAACTATTCGCTATCTAATTTATTTGTAATTGAAATCGAAATAATAAATAAATAAAATCGCATCTTGATTCAAGACTTGTAAGGGTATGAGATAAAATTATAGAATTCACATGCTGATGAGCATTTGCAAAAAAGTCCGTTAAAAGGGAAGGGGCTTATTTTTGATATCAGGTCACTGACCTGATATCATAAATAATTATCAGGCAAGTGTTATCGGGCAGTTACCATAGCAGTTGCATGATAAAACTAATAAAATGTTCAATATGATATTATTGTGTACCAAATTGTAAGTAGAAGAAGATTATCTTTGTGTCATTTATTACAGTCTACATTGGTTGTGAAATGCTTGGTGTCACATTCATGAGTATTTGTATCATTATTCAATGCTCTTTTATTGCAATGTTTAAAAACACGATTTGCCTAATCATAAAATCATTTTTATATCACACGATGGAAATATCATCAAAAATATTTAATTTAGAAACAACCAAATTGTATTTCGTTAATGTAGAATATTGAAAGGGAATCATCGTAAGAATATTTTTTTAAATAAGAAAAAATGTTTTATCTATATACATAACCACGTAACAGTCTTTTCTAATTAATGTATTGTTATGTTCCTATGTAAAGTACAATGTAGTACCACACAGGAGTAGTATTCAAATATTATCGTTACATGGCGGTTATGCATGAGAGGATCTTATCTTAACAAACATCACCCTCTTGTAACATTATAAATTTTCCAATTATGATACATAAATAAATTACTTGGCATTTTGTAGCTGTGTTTTAATGTCTTCGAATTCTTTCAGTTTACTACTAAGTTCTTCCACCTTTTTTATGCAATGCATCTATCTCAGAGGCTTTCTGTTGCAATACCCTCATCAATGGTTTGACCTTAAATAACAACAATGCTTCCATTGATTCAACCTTTTAATAACTACTGACAGAGACTATAGATTACATCTTAATCACTGCTACTGATATATTAGGAAGGGTCTTATTATAAATATTTTGTTTATTTGTAATAAAATTCAAAATAAGAACCGACCATTTTAAATATAAATAAAAATCAATGTAAATAAAGGGCGTAACTATTCTGTTTCCAAATGCAATGTTTATATTGACAATAATTCTTAGCGATAAGGCTATAGCTTTGAAACAAAGTCCAAGACCTTTGTATCAGCTTTATTATTCGCATTTTGTTCTACTTGTTGCCCTTTGAGTTTAAGTTGCTTTTCCCTATAATTATGCTATGTTTTAAAGTTCAGTCCCATTTGTGATTGAACGTTCTAAAAACGCGCGAGTTCTGATTTAACTCAAGAATCTCAGATCATACGCATTGGTTATACTTGAATGTTTTTAATGTATACATAATGAGACAATATAAAAAAAGAGAAAATCAAGATTTCATTAAATTGTAGCACAAAGTACAATATGATACTCCTGACTTCAGAGGCAGCTCGTATAAAACTGTCATATCTCTTTAATAGTTTCAACTTTTTTTTTATAATTAGAAATAAAGAAAAATGAAAACATATATGATAATTTCCCTGCAAATGAAATAAATATTTTGCACATCTCAAATAATGAGTTGTGGGTAATATATAAGTGTATCTCCTTTAAATTAAATTTAATTTAAAGGCCAAATTTTGTCCAGAAACACTTTTATTCTTATGTCTCAAAAGCTTGTTTGTGAGGGCATATGTCTAGATTATTGGACTTTGATTATAATATCTAAAAAACAATCACTTAAACAAGGACATTTAGTAAGCGTTACCGTAGTGTGTTTTCCTGAGGGGCAGTTACTACAATAGACCTTTTAACAATACAGCTATTCTATTTCCATAAAAACGAAGAGGCATTTTCGCGCATGGCGCATTCTGTCTAGGAAAGAAGGCAATAACTAAGAATTCATTTTATCAGTATTCAATATAATATATTTAAAATAATGTTTGACTATTACGACAAAAAGGGCAATATTAAAATCTTAACTTCTTTCAGTTTTATCATTTTCATTTTTCAAGTTTTTCTCTGAATTCTCTGCAAAATCAAATTTCAGTATTATGTTTTAATCAACCAGTGACATTAATGCTCATTTTTCCATTGTCAAGATTGAGCTGAATTGACTAATATATTTCAAAAGATTGACTTTTTAAAATGGATGATTGAGCAACAGATTTTGGAAAGTGTTAAGTTAAAAACCATAAATATGTCTAAAAATATAAAAAGACTGGCCGCAATCTTTTTATAAATTGAAACGTTATTGGGATATTTACAGAAATTTCCATGAAAATATCCGTGAATTTTTTATAGCTTAAGGTGGCAAAGTAAATAATGAAATTGAAAGGAAATATATATACATGAAGTTTTATTATACTTATGTTTATACAAGAAGGATATACTTCCTTTGTGTTTTTTTTATCTTCTAACTACTTCTAAAATGGCCCTAGTTATCATTAAATATCAAAATACATTCATCAACATTAAAATTCAATTCTGAATACATTTCTCTCTGTTTTTGCTGAGACTCTTTTTTAATTTTTATCGGCCCCTGTCGACGTCCGACTGTATCTTTGTATCCGTTGCCTTACTGTGTCGACGGACTTAAATTGTAAATTTAAGTAATATTAGCAGCCTTTTATTTTATCCAAATATTTTTGTGAGAATGGATTGAAGTTCCCTAAGTTTGAATAAACAATTTTTATACCCGATAGCATGTTTTTTTTTCATATTAAGAGTTACGCAACATTTTAATGTGTGTGTGTGCGTGCGTGAATTGGTGGACTGCCGGTGAGTGGGGCGTGCGTGGCACGGCGCTGGGCATCTGTGTGTGGGGGTTTGGTGTGTGTGTTGTTTTTTCAAGGCGTGTACAGAGTATGAAGAATATTTACTTTATGTTTCGTAACTTTGTGTTTGCAGATAAAGAAAACTTTTCCACCACAGATATACGTCAAATTGTAACTTACATGAAATTCATAGCCCCACTAAATTTATTTCTTGCAATATAAAATTCCAACAACCAACCAACACAAAACACGAACATTCAGTAATTATTGATTAAATACGTATAATATTGGAGCGGATCGAATAAATTATACGTAATAAGTTATACGTAATCTGTACAGAAAATTAAAACAAGTGCAGCACATAATTTAAATGATATAAACACAAAATACTCTTAACTTAATGGAACCGCAAATTCGATTTTAAACTTATTTTTTATTCTGGTTTTTGTCGATAAAACAATTGTGAAAGTAACCTCTCATAGTATCCCTGATGTGTATTTTGAAGTTCTTCATTCAACCTGAATTGTTTGAGAATGCACAGATTAAAACATATATGAAACACATGACAAGTCTTTTTCGTTAAGAACCTAACAATAAACATTCACTAACTTAATAAATATGGTAAATATCAGAAATAAAAACAATAAAAATGTCATTCATTAACAGTTCCTGAAATAAGTCAATATTACCTTAAATTTTCTCGTAAGAAATGTTGATCATTGATTGGGTCCGTTAATGTCTAAACTCTTTTCTAATTTGGCACTAAAAATAAAACTGGCATGGTATTAAATAATCTCTCGTGTTTGATAAGAAAAGAAATGAAAGAGAAAAACAACATTAACATTTTGAAATAAATCGTTGAAACTTAAAATAACATCGTTGCAGATTATTTTTTAAGCTTTGGTGTTCATTGTTATTCACGCAGAATACTATGTTTCTTTGATTTAAGTGGCATATAAAAAGTTCAGCTAAAAATCTTTATGCATCATTATAGTGGGCAGAAATATGTAGAAAAAAGCAAAATCACGATTTAGGTTTCCTTTATTAATCAAGGCTTTTCAATTCTTTACCATAATCAATAACTAATAAGACGTTAGATATTTAAATTTTATGTTGTTTAATGTATAAATTACAAAGATGTTTAAGATGTCAATGTCATTTCTTGGGGGCTTTTGTTTGTATTTTTAATAATTTTAAATTAATAAAAATCAGAAAGTATCACTTAAAGTAAAAAGTGAAATGCAAGAATTTTTCATGGCAATAATAAATATTTATAATAGCGTAGCGGGTCTAGTTTATTACGATATAATAACTATCTTTTGGTTCAATTTTTCATCTCCATCTTTTGTAGCTCCTCTGGGTCCTTTTTCCCTTTGTTTCCCTTTACCGGGATGGTGTAACTAGGTAAGTAAGTAAGTAAGTGTTTTTTTAATATAGTGACATTTTTTTCCAAGTACAATTTATAAACATACACTAAAAACTTTACAAATATGGGGACACCCTAACATATTATTAAAAACCTTTATAAGTCACAAAACGGAAAATATTAGCTGAGGCATGTTACGATAATTTTCAACATGTTATTAAACATAGCCAGTAAAATTCATATTAACATGTTGTTTTGCATTTATGGACAAGTTCAATTATGCAATATGGCACAATAATTAAGAATAATTAATCATTGATCTATTTATGCAATAAGTCTCTTCCTTAACAGATCATGGTTTTGGGTACAATAGGATTTGAGATAATTTTATTTTTGTGGTTTTTAGAGATTACTAGTTTTATTGGTCCGTCCCATTAATTAAATGAATTGCCTTTTAAAATACAATTTCCTGTTCTACCTTTTTAAATCGCCAACTGTCGACGTCCAACTTTTTAGTCTTTGTGTCGGTTATTTTAATTGTGTGCAGACGAGCTTATATTAATTAAAGTAAATATTATTACCCTATTACTATGTACGAATATTTTCGTGGGAATGGCTTAAGGTCCCTTCTTAATACAGATACATTCATTTTGATATTGGGAATTTCCTTATAACTGCAGCAATGATCGATATTTTTTTTTTTTATAAATGTTTAGTGGGAAAAATCGTATGACAAATATAAAAAAGAATCATGTTTATCGTAATTATTTTCTTTAATATGAATTCCATATTTCTTATACTAAATTATTTATTTTTATAACTAGTGCGTGTCCTTTTTTTCTTTAGAAAGCAACGTGTAAAATGTATAAAAACACTCATAAATTTCTACAAAATTAATACGTACTTATATTCGTTATTTTTGTCTGTGCAGAGACGCAGATACATGTATATGTCAATTGTAACTAACATAAATTTTAACAGGCACATATGTGATTCTTTTTATTATAGACGCATTCTCATTTTTATTATATCCCAGTGGAAGATTCACTTTTCAAGGGTCAAATATTGGAGCATAAACGAAGAGATTTTTTTCTAATGACATTACATTTCATACGCGAAACTTTTTTTTTTGCTTTTGTTTGGTATTGGAACTAATATAAGAAGAATGTCAAAATCGTAATATTGCAGTCTTACTAAGAAGCTAAAATTATGTTTAGTAAATAATTCAGATAGTCTAACACACACAAAAACTTTAATTTGACAGAAACGGCCAATTCGATTTAAAGCATATTTTCATTCTGTTTTTGTCAATAAAAACAAGTGTGAAATTACCTCTCTCTTGTATCCCTTGAGTTGTATTTATGAAGTTCTTCAGTCAACTTGAAATGTTTTGGAGAATGACATTGATTAAAAAGCCTTTAAGTTTTTTTTCGTAAAGAACATGAATATTTCTCTACTTAATGAATATGGTAAATATAAAGAAATTATATACCTATAAATTTTCTCCCTAAAATACACGCAAATCTTGAAGCGCAAATATGCTTCAACGGATAGAAAAATACCATATATGGAAAGTGACGGACTATTTTTGACGTTGGTTCCGATCTTGGCTTTGTATAATGTTGCATTTGGGAAACGGGGAACCAACTAATTAAAGGGGCTTGGCAAGAATTGCGTATTCATCCGTCAGTCATAAATTTATTTCTTGACTACTACATTTTTTTTCTGAATAAAACGAAGAAGTAATATAATAAAAGGAAAATTATGCTGTAGTAGCCTTCTGAGACCCATGTATTTTTCTACTCGCAACGTTGGAAAAATTGATATCTCAACTCGACCTTCGGTCTCGCGAGATATCAATTTTCCACCGCTGCTCGTAGCAAGATGCAAAGCCCCAGAAAAGCTACTACAAAACATAAAATTCCGTATATAAAGAAAAAGAATATATTCCTGAAATGTGTCAATTTAATATTTTAAATTTTATTATTCGTAAGAATGTTGATCATTGATTGGTCCGCTAAGTCTAACTCTTTCCTAATCTTGAGGGATGAGATTTACTAGTTTTCATCGTCCGTCATGTAATTAAATGAATTGCTTAAAATAACATTTCCTGTTCTATTTTTATCGCCAACTTTTTTCTTTTTGGAGGCTATTCATTGCCAAAAATCCAGCCTTTGACACTTGACAATTTCTACTAAACAGATTGGTAAAATATTATTTTGTCGATCCGAGTTTTTACATACTGCACTGGCATTAAGCATTTTGATTATCTCGATTTGATAAAATGGAAGCTGTAAACATGCAACTTTGATAAATTGCCAAACTGTATTTATAAATGTATAACTTCAAATATGCGACATGTAGAAATGTCAACGATAGAACGTACACAATACGTTTAATTTGCTGTTCAGCATGACGTTGAGAATGCAACTGCAATCAACTTGAACACACTCAGGTTTACAACACCACACACTTTCCATTTACATTCTAACGCGATTAACATTTGTAAACGATTTTGCAACTTCCATATAAGGAATTATCACGGAATTAGACGAAAATAAATAGGCGGAGCCAATTTTCACGAAAAGCAGAATATAAAGAGAGGTAACCCTTGCTGGTACAAAAATGTTTCAAATTATTTAAAAACTGTTATAAATTTCACATACATCAACTGCATTACAGTTGACTTTGAACATCCTCTGATTTGTAAAAAGTACAAGATATTTCAAGTAATGCAAAATTGATTAAGATATAATGTAACAATGTAATAATGTTAATACTGATAATGAGCATAATAATATGCAAAAACTAAAGTTGGTGAATAAACATAAGGGAATGTTTCCCATATAAAATGACACACACCACTATTTGTTGATATGAACGATAGGGTGTGTGTGCCTTCAAACGTTTCACGGTAATATTCGTACGCAGATCTTTTAGTAAATAGTACTAGGATACATGGAAATCACTTTTGGAAATACGAATAAAGAGAACTGAACAGTAAGCCTGTGCCTTCTTTCTTTAAAGGACTATGTTGGGTTGTAGAAAAACCCATATGTTTGACCAAGTGTATAACCACGAAACAATTCAAAGTTTACTATCGATAATTCCGTTGTATAACCACAAACTTGTGAATTTGTCCCATTTTAATGTTGAAGTAAATATTCAGTGCACTTGCCCCTCACCGCTGTGGGTTTAAATTCCGACAAAGACTTTGGAATCTTTCATGTGAGGAAGCTATCCAGCTAGCTTACGGAACGTCAGTGGTTCTACTCAGGTACCCGTTCATGCCTGAAATAATGCATGTAAGGGCACCTGAGGTCTTCCTCCAACAGTAAAGCTGGAACGTCGCGATATGACCTATACTGTGTCGATATGACGTAAAACCCCCTCAAAAAATATTCAGTGAATCCTACCTCCATTGGGAGGTATTGTGAGTCAAAGGATGTGATTTAGCCTTTTATTATTAAATATATGTAAGCTGACGTAGGTTAAGGTATTTTTATGCATTGTACTGAATCAATAGCAAATCTGTGTATCTGTGTATACATGCTGTCAATAGCTGTTACCTAGACTTGCTGTCTATCTGATTAAAAGCAGAGAACTATTTTTATGCACAGAATATTTATTAAGTTTTCTAAGTGATGGCTTTCTAAGAGATAAAATGAACAAGGTATACAGTACATTATTCTATTGACTAGGTGCGATTGAATATGATGTGATATTCACCGGCAGATGTCAATATGACTTTCTGTCGGTGAATATCACCATCGTATTCAATGGCACACTAGTCAATAATTGTTTTATTATATGAATTGGCTATCAGAATTTGAAGAAAATCACAGACAGTACAACATTATACATGTACAATTTATGCCTGTTTCGTTGAAGCGCGGGAAAAAGAGGCACGTGAAAGACGTGCAACAACTACGCGAACGCTGGCATACAAAAGTAATTCAAGTTTATACTTATAATTGCGGTTTAACTTTTAACTGTAATGGAAAAGTAATGCTATTTTAATCGAGAAATATACCATAAAGAACAAAACGCAACAATAATATTTTTATAAACACGTGTCTACGATATATGGTATTTGAATATGAGTCTCAATCTATTTTTAGACTTTGAAAATCGAATTCAGCCAGTGAAGATGATACTACACCCAGTGAATATGATTCTATATAAGTTCTGTTGACTGCTGTTTGGACCAATGAGATTGCAGCTATATTTAGATCATATAATAAAAATTGATAATCAACATATATACCTTTGAACTCATTTAAATATTATTATTGAAAAACAAAATGGTACAAATGGGAAAATATATCTATACAGTATGGTAAAAATAAAAAGTTTTGTACGAAAGGGTACATACAACTTTGGTTATAATTTTACTATTGTTAAAAGTTTTTTTCTTGTCAAGTCATATGCTAGAATTAAGGTTACTTATGTAATAGTAAATGCTACTACTAGAAAAGACCACAGCCATAATTTGGTTTGTATTAGTAATTAGTCGTATCAAAATCTCTACCAGATGTTGACTTGAAAATTTGAAAGTGGTAAGGTAGCAGCTTAACTGTAACTGTTACTCATTCCTATGCAAATTTGAATACCCTCAGTAAAGTTTATTTGTCGTTGAATATAGTCTTATCAATAGTTTTTACTTCCTTGAAAAATATTTAACCTCAGGCAGTAAGTAGCCTGGTGAGTATATTATTATATTTTTTAGATTTTTTTTATCTAGGAAATGTGGTATCTACAACGTTTTAAAACTTATATGCCTATAATCCTTTAAAGTCCGCTGATGTTGATTGAATAAAGGCATAGAATGGCAATTATGCAAGTGAATTATGTTTGGTGAAAAACTAAATATCTAAAAAGTGTGGTAAACGGAAAATACGCCGCTTCTTGTCGCCGACGGTAAATACCGAAAATGATCGATAAATACGTTTATTTTACGGTGATGAAGTGGGCGGGAAAATGGGCGGAGCTTATTTTATCTCCTCTGATCCGAATCATGATGGTTCGACAATGGTCGGCGTATACACGAACAATGAGTATTCGAACACTTGGTATTGTAACTGTCAGCAAAACAGTTAATGTTTTGTCGTTTGACATATTGAAGTTTGTTTACAATGTCAAATCGGCAAACTCAATCCAAGAATGCAACATTGGAGTTTACATAAAAAGAAATACAATTGTATTTTGTCCGTTAACAAACTGTTCAACTCAGATCAACAAGGCTGGATTTTTGGCAACGAATAGCCTCCATATTTTTTTGCGTCGGATGTTTCATTTTTGTGCAGACGAGCTTATTTTTTTAATTATATTAGCAGCTATTCTTTCGAATATTTTCGTGGGAATGGCCAAGGTCCCTGATTTAGTTACAACCTTTTTGCAAATACACAGGAGTAGTATTCAAATATTATCGTTACATGGCGGTTATGCATGAGAGGATCTTATCTTAACAAACATCACCCTCTTGTAACATTATAAATTTTCCAATTATGATACATAAATAAATTACTTGGCATTTTGTAGCTGTGTTTTAATGTCTTCGAATTCTTTCAGTTTACTACTAAGTTCTTCCACCTTTTTATGCAATGCATCTATCTCAGAGGCTTTCTGTTGCAATACCTCATCATGGTTTGACCTTAAATAACAACAATGCTTCCATTGATTCAACCTTTTAATAACTACTGACAGAGACTATAGATTACATCTTAATCACTGCTACTGATATATTAGGAAGGGTCTTATTATAAATATTTTGTTTATTTGTAATAAAATTCAAAATAAGAACCGACCATTTAAATATAAATAAAAATCAATGTAATAAAGGGCGTAACTATTCTGTTTCCAAATGCAATGTTTATATTGACAATAATTCTTAGCATAAGGCTATAGCTTTGAAACAAAGTCCAAGACCTTTTATCAGCTTTATTATTCGCATTTTGTTCTACTTGTTGCCCTTTGAGTTTAAGTTGCTTTTCCCTATAATTATGCTATGTTTAAAGTTCAGTCCCATTTGTGATTGAACGTTCTAAAACGCGCGAGTCTGATTTAACTCAAGAATCTCAGATCATACGCATTGGTTATACTTGAATGTTTTAAATGTATACATAATGAGACAATATAAAAAAAGAGAAAATCAAGATTTCATTAAATTGTACAAAGTACAATATGATACTCCTGACTTCAGAGCAGCTCGTATAAAACTGTCATATCTCTTTAATAGTTTCAACTTTTTTTTATAATTAGAAATAAAGAAAAATGAAAACATATATGATAATTTCCCTGCAAATGAAATAAATATTTTGCACATCTCAAATAATGAGTTGTGGGTAATATATAAGTGTATCTCCTTTAATTAAATTTAATTTAAAGGCCAATTTTGTCCCAGAAACACTTTTATTCTTATGTCTCAAAAGCTTGTTTGTGAGGGCATATGTCTAGATTATTGGACTTTGATTATAATATCTAAAAAACATCACTTAAACAAGGACATTTAGTACGTTACCTAGTGTGTTTCCTGAGCAGTTACTACAATAGACCTTTTACAATACACTATTCCATAAAAACGAAGAGGCATTTCGCGCATGCGCATTCTGTCTAGGAAAAAGGCAATAACTAAGAATTCATTTTATCAGTATTCAAAATATATATATTTAAAATAATGTTTGACTATTACGAAAAAAGGCAAATATTAAAATCTTACTTCTTTAGTTTATCATTTTCATTTTTCAGTTCTCTGAATTCTCTGCAAAATAAATCAGTATTATGTTTTACACCAGTGACATTATGCTCATTTTTCCATTGTCAAGTTGAGCTGAATTGACTATATATTTCAAAAGATTGACTTTTTAATGATGATTGAGCAACAGATTTTGGAAAGTGTTAAGTTAAAAACATAAATATGTCTAAAATATAAAAAGACTGCCGCAATCTTTTTATAAATTGAACGTTATTGGATATTTACAGAAATTTCCATGAAATATCGTGAATTTTTTATACTTAGGGCAAAGTAAATAATGAAATTGAAAGGAAATATATACATGAAGTTTTATATACTTATGTTTATACAAGAAGGATATACTTCCTTTGTTTTTTTTTATCTTCTAACTACTTCTAAAATGCCCTAGTTATATTAAATATCAAAATACATTCATCACATTAAAATTCAATTCTGAAATACATTTCTCTCTGTTTTTGCTGAGACTCTTTTTTATTTTTATCGCCCCTGTCGACGTCCGACTGTATCTTTGTATCCGTTGCTTACTGTGTCGACGGACTTAAATTGTAAATTTAAAGTAATATTAGCACCTTTTATTTTATCCAAATATTTTTGTGAGAATGATTGAAGTCCCTAGTTGAATAACAATTTTTATACCGATACATGTTTTTTTTTCATATTAGAGTTTACCATTTTAATGTGTGTGTGTGCGTGCGTGAATTGGTGGATGCGTGAGTGCGTGCGTGCACGCGCTGCATCTGTGTGTGGGGGTTTGGGTGTGTGTGTGTTTTTCAACGTGTACAGAGTATGAAGAATATTTATTTATGTTTCGTAACTTTGTGTTTGCAGATAAAGAAAACTTTTCACACAGATATACGTCAATTGTAACTTACATGAAATTCATAGCCACTAATTTATTTCTTGCAATATAAATTCCACAACCAAGCCACACAAACACGAACATTCAGTAATTATTGATTAAATACGTATAATATTGGAGCGGAATCGAATAAATTATACGTAATAAGTTATACGTAATCTGTACTAGAAAATTAAAACAAGTGCAGCACATAATTTAAATGATATAACACAAAATACTCTTAACTTATGGAACCGCAAATTCGATTTAAAACTTATTTTTATTCTGTTTTTGTCGATAAAACAATTGTGAAAGTACCTCTCTATAGTATCCCTTGATGTGTATTTTTGAAGTTCTTCATTCAACCTGAAATTGTTTGAGAATGACACAGATTAAAACATATATGAAACCATGACAAGTCTTTTTCGTTAAGAACCTAACATAAACATTTCACTACTTAATAAATATGGTAAATATTAAGAAATAAACAATTAAAAATTCATTCATTAACAGTTCTGAAATAAGTCAATATTTACCTTAAATTTTCATCCGTAAGAATGTTGATCATTGATTGGTCCGTTAAGTCTAACTCTTTTCTAATCTTGGCACTAAAAATATAAAAACTGCATGGTATTAAATAATTGCTCTCGTGTTTGATAAGAAAAGAAATGAAAGAGAAAAACAACATTATCATTTTGAAATAAATCGTTGAAACTTAAAATAACATCGTTGCAGATTATTTTTAACTTTGGTGTTCATTGTTATTCACGCAGATACTATGTTTCTTTGATTTAAGTGGCATATAAAAAGTTCACTAAAATCTTTATGCATCATTATAGTGCAGAAATATGTAGAAAAAAGCAAATCACGATTTAGGTTCCTTTTATTAATCAAGCTTTTCAATTCTTTACCAATAAAATAACTAATAAGACGTTAGATATTTTTAACATTTTATGTTGTTTAATGTATAAATTACAAAGATGTTAAGATGTCAATGTCATTTCTTGGGGCTTTTGTTTGTATTTTAAACATAATTTTAATTAATAAAAATCAGAAGTATCACTAAAGTAAAAAGTGAAATGCAAGAATTTTCATGGCAATATATAAATATTTATAATACGTACGGGTCTAGTTTATTACGATATATAACTATCTTTTGGTTCAATTTTTCAATCTCATTTTGTAGCTCCTCTGGGTCCTTTTCCCTTTGTTTCCCTTTACCGGATGGTGTACTAGTAAGTAAGTAAGTAAGTGATTTTTTTAATATAGTGACATTTGTTTTCAAGTACATTTATAAACATACACAAAACTTTACAAATATGGACACCCTACATATTATACCTATAAGTCACAAAACGGAAAAATATTAGCTGAGCATGTACGATATTTTCAACATGTTATTAACATAGCAGTAAATTCATATTAACATGTGTTTTGCATTTATGGACAGTTCAATTATGCAATATGGCACATAATTAAGAATAATTAATCATGATCTATTATGCAATAAGTCTCTCCTTAACAGATATGTTTGTACAATAGATTTGATAATTTTATTTTTGTGGTTCTTTATGAGATTTACTAGTTTTATTGTCCGTCATGTAATTAAATGAATTGCTTAAAATAACATTTCCTGTTCTATTTTTATCGCCAATGTCGACGTCCAACTTTTTCTTTGTGTCGGTTATTTTAATTGTGTGCAGACGAGCTTATATTATTAAAGTAATATTATTACCTATTACTATGTACGAATATTTTCGTGGGAATGGCTAAGGTCCCTTCTTAATACAGATACATTCATTTTGATATTGGAATTTCCTTATAACTGCAGCAATGATCGATATTTTTTGTTTTTTATAAATGTTTAGTGGGAAAATCGTATGACAAATATAAAAAAGAATCATGTTTATCGTAATTATTTCTTTAATATGATTCCATATTCTTATACTAAATTATTTATTTTTATAACTAGTGCGTGTCCTTTTTTTCTTTAGAAAGCAACGTGTAAAATGTATAAAAACACTCATAAATTTCTACAAATTAATACGTACTTATATTTCGTTATTTTGTCTGTGCAGAGACGCAGATACATGTATATGTCAATTGTAACTAACATAAATTTTACAGGCACATATGTGATTCTTTTTATTATAGACGCATTCTCATTTTTATTATATCCCAGTGGAAGATTCACTTTTCAAGGGTCAAATATTGGAGCATAAACGAAGAGATTTTTCTAATGACATTACATTTCATACGCGAAACTTTATTTTTTTGCTTTTGTTTGGTATTGGAACTAATATAAGAAGAATGTCAAAATCGTAATATTGCAGTCTTACTAAGAAGCTAAAATTATGTTTAGTAAATAATTCAGATAGTCTAACACACACAAAAAACTTTAATTTGACAGAAACGCCAATTCGATTTAAAGCATATTTTCATTCTGTTTTTGTCAATAAAACAAGTGTGAAATTACCTCTCTCTTGTATCCCTTGAGTTGTATTTATGAAGTTCTTCAGTCAACTTGAAATGTTTTGGAGAATGACATTGATTAAAGCCTTTAAGTTTTTTTCGTAAAGAACATGAATATTTCTCTACTTAATGAATATGGTAAATATAAAGAAATTATATACCTATAAATTTTCTCCCTAAAATACACGCAAATCTTGAAGCGCAAATATGCTTCAACGGATAGAAAAATACCATATATGGAAGTGACGGACTATTTTTGACGTTGGTTCCGATCTTGGCTTTGTATAATGTTGCATTTGGAAACGGGAACCAACTAATTAAAGGCTTGGCAAGAATTGCGTATTCATTCGTCAGTCATAAATTTATTTCTTGACTACTACATTTTATTTTCTGAATAAAACGAAGAAGTATATAATAAAAGGAAAATTATGCTGTAGTAGCCTTCTGAGACCATGTATTTTTCTACTCGCAACGTTGGAAAATTGATATCTCACTCGACCTTCGGTCTCGCGAGATATCAATTTTCCACCGCTGCTCGTAGCAAGATGCAAAGCCCCAGAAAGCTACTACAACATAAAATTCCGTATATAAAGAAAAAGATATATTCCTGAAATGTGTCAATTTATATTTTAAATTTTTATTCGTAAGAATGTTGATCATTGATTGGTCCGCTAAGTCTAACTCTTTCCTAATCTTGAGATGAGATTTACTAGTTTTCATCGTCCGTCATGTAATTAAATGAATTGCTTAAAATAACATTTCCTGTTCTATTTTTATCGCCAACTTTTTCTTTTTGGAGGCTATTCATTGCCAAAAATCCAGCCTTTGACACTTGACAATTTCTACTAAACAGATTGGTAAAATATTATTTGTCGATCCGAGTTTTACATACTGCACTGGCATTAAGCATTTTGATTATCTCGATTTGATAAAATGGAAGCTGTAAACATGCAACTTTGATAAATTGCCAACTGTATTTATAAATGTATAACTTCAAATATGCGACATGTAGAAATGTCAACGATAGAACGTACACAATACGTTTAATGCTGTTCAGCATGACGTTGAGAATGCAACTGCATCAACTTGACACACTCAGGTTTACAACACCACACTTTCCATTTACATTCTAACGCGATTAACATTTGTAAACGATTTTGCAACTTCCATATAAGGAATTATCACGGAATTAGACGAAAATAAATAGGCGGAGCCAATTTTCACGAAAGCAGAATATAAAGAGAGGTAACCCTTGCTGGTACAAAAATGTTTCAAATTATTTAAAAACTGTTATAAATTTCACATACATCAACTGCATTACAGTTGACTTTGAACATCCTCTGATTTGTAAAAAGTACAAGATATTCAAGTAATGCAAAATTGATTAAGATATAATGTAACAATGTAACAACGTTTATACTGATAATGAGCATAATAATATGCAAAAACTAAAGTTGATGAATTAACATAAGGGAATGTTTCCCATATAAAATGACACACACCACTATTTGTTGATATGAACGATAGGGTGTGTGTGCCTTCAAACGTTTCACGGTAATATTCGTACGCAGATCTTTTAGTAAATAGTACTAGGATACATGGAAATCACTTTTGGAAATACGAATAAAGAGAACTGAACAGTAAGCCTGTGCCTTCTTTCTTTAAAGGACTATGTTGGGTTGTAGAAAAACCCATATGTTTGACCAAGTGTATAACCACGAAACAATTCAAAGTTTACTATCGATAATTCCGTTGTAATAACCACAAACTTGTGAATTTGTCCCATTTTAATGTTGAAGTAAATATTCAGTGCACTTGCCCCTCACCGCTGTGGGTTTAAAATTCCGACAAAGACTTTGGAATCTTTCATGTGAGGAAGCTATCCAGCTAGCTTACGGAACGTCAGTGGTTCTACTCAGGTACCCGTTCATGCCTGAAATAATGCATGTAAGGGCACCTGAGGTCTTCCTCAACAGTAAAGCTGGAACGTCGCGATATGACCTATACTGTGTCGATATGACGTAAAACCCCCTCAAAAAATATTCAGTGAATCCTACCTCCATTGGGAGGTATTGTGAGTCAAAGGATGTGATTTAGCCTTTTATTTATTAAATATATGTAAGCTGACGTAGGTTAAGGTATTTTTATGCATTGTACTGAATCAATAGCAAATCTGTGTATCTGTGTATACATGCTGTCAATAGCTGTTACCTAGACTTGCTGTCTATCTGATTAAAAGCAGAGAACTATTTTTTATGCACAGAATATTTATTAAGTTTTCTAAGTGATGGCTTTCTAAGAGATAAAATGAACAAGGTATACAGTACATTATTCTATTGACTAGGTGCGATTGAATATGATGTGATATTCACCGGCAGATGTCAATATGACTTTCTGTCGGTGAATATCACCATCGTATTCAATGGCACACTAGTCAATAATTGTTTTATTATATGAATTGGCTATCAGAATTTGAAGAAAATCACAGACAGTACAACATTATACATGTCAATTTATGCCTGTTTCGTTGAAGCCGCGGGGAAAAAGAGGCACGTGAAAGACGTGCAACAACTACGCGAACGCTGGCATACAAAAGTAATTTCAAGTTTATACTTATAATTGCGGTTTTAACTTTTAACTGTAATGGAAAAGTAATGCTATTTTAAATCGAGAAATATACCATAAAGAACAAAACGCAACAATAATATTTTTATAAACACGTGTCTACGATATATATGGTATTTGAATATGAGTCTCAATCTATTTTTAGACTTTGAAAATCGAATTCAGCCAGTGAAGATGATACTACACCCAGTGAATATGATTCTATATAAGTTCTGTTGACTGCTGTTTGGACCAATGAGATTGCAGCTATATTTAGATCATATAATAAAAATTTGATAATCAACATATATACCTTTGAACTCATTTAAATATTATTATTGAAAAACAAAATGGTACAAATGGGAAAATATATCTATACAGTATGGTAAAAATAAAAAGTTTTGTACGAAAGGGTACATACAACTTTGGTTATAATTTTACTATTGTTAAAAGTTTTTTTCTTGTCAAGTCATATGCTAGAATTAAGGTTACTTATGTAATAGTAAATGCTACTACTAGAAAAGACCACAGCCATAATTTTTGGTTTGTATTAGTAATTAGTCGTATCAAAAATCTCTACCAGATGTTGACTTGAAAATTTGAAAGTGGTAAGGTAGCAGCTTAACTGTAACTGTTACTCATTCCTATGCAAATTTGAATACCCTCAGTAAAGTTTATTTGTCGTTGAATATAGTCTTATCAATAGTTTTTACTTCCTTGAAAAATATTTAACCTCAGGCAGTAAGTAGCCTGGTGAGTATATTATTATATTTTTTAGATTTTTTTTATCTAGGAAATGTGGTATCTACAACGTTTTAAAACTTATATGCCTATAATCCTTTAAAGTCCGCTGATGTTGATTGAATAAAGGCATAGAATGGCAATTATGCAAGTGAATTATGTTTGGTGAAAAACTAAATATCTAAAAAGTGTGGTAAACGGAAAATACGCCGCTTCTTGTCGCCGACGGTAAATACCGAAAATGATCGGATAAATACGTTTATTTACGGTGATGAAGTGGGCGGGAAAATGGGCGGAGCTTATTTTATCTCCTCTGATCCGAATCATGATGGTTCGACAATGGTCGGCGTATACACGAACAATGAGTATTCGAACACTTGGTATTGTAACTGTCAGCAAAACAGTTAATGTTTTGTCGTTTGACATATTGAAGTTTGTTTACAATGTCAAATCGGCAAACTCAATCCAAGAATGCAACATTGGAGTTTACATAAAAAGAAATACAATTGTATTTTATCCGTCAACAAACTGTTCAACTCAGATCAACAAGGCTGGATTTTTGGCAACGAACAGCCTCCATATTTCTTTGCGACAGATGTTTCATTTTTGTGCAGACGAGCTTATTTTTTTAAAATTATATTAGCACTTATTCTTTCGAATATTTTCGTGGGAATGGCCAAGGTCCCTGATTTAGTTACAACCTTTTTGCAAATACTTTCATTTTGAAATTGGAATTTACCTTATTTTTTTAGCAATGATCGATATTTTTTTTGTTTTTAATAGATGTTTAGTGAAACATCGTATGACAAATATAAAAAAGAATCAAATATAATTATATATTCTTAAACTAAAGTATTTATTTTTGATAACTAGATGTGTTGCGTGTTTTTGTTTACTTTAGGAAACAACGCGTAAAAACACTCATAAATTTCTACAAATTTATGCGTACATGTACTTATATTTCGTAACATTGTATGTGTAGAGATAGAAAACCTTTCACACAGATACATGTATATGTCAATTGCAACTAACATAACATTTACAGAAACTGATGTAATTCTTTACATTATAGACACATTCTCATTTTTATCATATCCCACCTGAGGGTAAAATATTGGAGCATGAATGAAGACATTTTTCTAGTGAGATAATATTTCATATTGTGAAAACTTAAAAAGCGAAACTGTAACATTTTTTTGTTATTGGATTATGTGAACTAATTTAAAAACCATGTCAAAATCATTATATTGCTATCTTACCTAGAAATTGAAATTATGTTTAGTAAATAATTTAGATAGTGGAACACACACACAAAACACTTTAAATTGATGGAAACGCCAATTCGATTTAAAGCATATTTTCATTCTGTTTTTGTCAATAAAACAAGTGTGAAATTACCTCTCTCTTGTATCCGTTGAGTTGTATTTATGAAGTTCTTCAGTCAACCTGAAATGTTTTGGAGAAATATACAGATTAAAACATATAAGTTTTTTTCGTTAAGAACATGAACATTTCCCTACTTAATGAGTATGGTATATATAAAGAAATAAACTATTATAAATAAATTCATGAACAGATCTGAAATGTGTCAATATTTACCTGAAATTTTCATCCGTTAGAATGTTGATCATTGATTGGTCAGTTAAGTCTAACTCTGCTCTAATCGTTGCTCTAGAAATATATAAAAATACATGGTATTAATTAGCTTTCTATCGTGTTTGATAAGAAAAAAATGAAAGTAAAATACAACATTATTATATTGAAATAAATCGTTGAAACTTAAATAAACACTGTTGCAGTTTATTTTAAACTCTGTACATTGTTATTCACGTGAATACTTTGATGCTTTGATTAAGGTTACATATAAAAGATGTAAACGAGAATCTTTATGCATCATAATAGTTTTTAAAATATGTAGAGAAAAAAGCAAATTACTATTTTGATTCCTTTATTTATCAAGCTTTGCAATTCTTTACCAATAAAAAAACACAAATAGAATGTTACATAATTTAAATTTTTTATGTTGTTTGATGTAAAAATTACAAAGATGTTTGTTAATGTCATTTTTTTAGGTTTTTTTCCTTGTATAGATATTGATAAATCTTAATAAAAAATCATAATATAAGCATTAAGACTAAAAGTAAGAGGTAAATGCAACAATTCTTATGACGATATTAATATTTATAATACGTACGGGTCTAGATTATTACGATATATAACTATCGTTTGCCTCAATTTTTCAATCTCATTTTGTAGCTCCTTTGTGTTATTTATGCTTTGTTTCCCTTTACCGGATGATGTGCTTAGTAAATAAGTAAGTAAATTATTGATTTAAGTGACATTTATTATAAGTACATATATACATGTACATACACAAAAATATACAAAGATTGACATCCGGCACATTGAAGCTATAAGTCACAAAACAGAAAATTATATAACAATAAGCCTCTCATTAACTGTTATACTTGTACAATAAATTTTATAACTTTAGATTTATGGTTGTTTATGAGATATTCTAGTTTATCATTGTCCGTCATGGAACTTATATTGCATTGAATTCCAAACTTTAGTTTTTAAGTTATGCCCCGGACAAGGAAAATGAACAAAGGGCAATAACTCTACAAATATTGAAGACGGAGTTATAGTTATTGTACAATGTACTTCCTCTCATTGCGCTTGACAATAGTATGAAGTTGAATTGAATTCCAACTACTAGTTTTCAAGTTATGCACTGGACAAAAAAGTAACAATGGGCAATAACTGTAATTTGTCCAAATAGAGATATGTTCTTGTGCACTGCACTTCATCTCACTGCCCTTGACCATTGTATGAAATTCTGTAAACAAGTGATCCCTCGGAAGCATTTATGACAACAAAATTACAAGAGAATTGCAGACTCGGTTTGATTGAGTCTGTACATGAGGGATAATGAATAAGTGCAATTTCCCTCACGCCCCCTAGCACCGGCTTGAGCGGTACTCAATTCTTAACACTCAATATTGCTGGCATCAATGATCCCGAAGGACCAGAAAATATAGCAACACTGAAGTGAAGTACGGGGTAACTTTTTACAGCTGCCACACGGCACTTGACACCTGCTAATGTGAAGTATAAAATTCTGGAAACAAGTGATCCTTCGGAAGCATTAATCACAACAAAATAACAGATTGCAGACTCGGTTTGATTGAGTCTGTACATGAGGGATAATGAATAAGTGAAGTTTCATTGAATTTTTACCATTAATTTTCAAGTTATGCACTGGACAATAAAAAGTAACAAAGGGCAAAAACTCTTTAAATAGTTGAAGAAAGAGTTATGGTTTCTGTGCACTGCACTTGCTCTCAATATACTTGACCATTGAATGAAATTGTATTGAATTCCAATTAGTAGTTTTCAATTTATGCTCTGGACAAGAAAAAAGCAATGGAATAGAAAAAAAAGGGCAATAACTCTATAACTTCTCTAGACAGAGTTATGTTTTTTGTACTCTGCACTTCCTCTTAATGCGCTTGACGATTGAATAAAGTTGTATTGAATTCCAACCAGTAGTTTTTTTAAGTTATGCTCCAGACAAGGGAAAGGAACAAAGGGCAATTACTCTGTAGTAAGTCAAGAAGGAGTTATGGTTATTGTGCTCTGCACTTCCTTTTAATGTGCTTGATCATTGTATGAAGTTGTATTAAATTCCAATTATTAGTCTTCAAGTTATGCTCCGGACAAAAAAAGCAATGGAAAAGTAACAAAGGGCAATTACTCTGTAATTATTTTAGATAGAGTTATAGTTATGCACTGCACTTCCTCTTTATGAAGTTGTATTGGATTCCAACCAGCACTTTTCAGGTTATGCTCCGGACAAGGAAAATGCAACAGACGGCTGGACCGACCGACCGACCAACCGACCGACCACCGATTGACTCCTATATACCCTCCCAAACTTCGTTTGGGGGTATAATAATAAATTTATTTTCAATGTTACTTAAATTGTAAAGCCGATGCCTTTTGTAGGATATATTATGCACAAATTTGATGTTTAGATCGTTGGTAATTCTGTACAACAATCTCTAATTAAATGTATAATGAATATGTTTAGCACACACAGGGAATCTTAAACTAATCAGTACAGGTAAACAGTGTTAAGAGAGGAACACATTATTTGACAACCTATAGGGAATATAGCCCCTTAAACATAGTTTGTACATTCTCTTAAATTCAAATTAGGCATTTTCTGTAAACATTATATATATTTCAAGACAATGTTTTACATAAAAAATGGCTTAAGAATAAAAAATTGAAATGAAGTCAATTCAATTTCAAATGTTCTTATAGTACTTACCTTGGAGTAAATTTTTGCTCCTTTTTAGAAACTTGTTTCTGCTTATATGATTTTCCACTCATACTTGTAAGTCGTTACTTTTACCAAGATTTCAAATATATTATTAACCTACAAGAACAGCATATGTGTAACGACAACTGTTTGATTTAAAAAAAATTCTACACACCATGGTTTACATTTTACTTCATGACAACTAAAACAAACTTTGGTACCATTTTATACAAATCGAAACAAATTCTTATCTATATGAATTAAGTACTTAGTTAATCCTGCATTTGATCTTAGTTTTTAAAATTAATTATAAATTTTCGCAAACTTACTTGTGAAAACGTTTGAATTCTGTTTTGATTTTGAAAAGACACAATTTACTTCCCGAGTTACTTGTAAACAAAGTCGTTTTAACAGCGCAGATATTTATTTTTAATTTCCTTCCTGGAAGACAGACGAATAGTAAATTCTACGTATACACGTTGAAATTTCACCTAAATTCATAATATCGATCCTGCATGTTGATTATAGTTATACCGTAAACAAAACTAGATTTATTTATTTTTTAAACGAGCGGTGTATAGTTACTAGAGAGTAGAGATGAATGCTAAAATAGAATAGACAAATTAAAAAGTAAAGTAAAAGGGGAAATAACCGCTATACAAACGATTTTCATAAAAAATAGTAATTAGTTGATCCTTTTAAGTTGGGTTTACATCTTTTTATGTCTTTTTTCATGAAAATACTTTTTTACAGATTATAAAATTATTATATCGGTCATAATATTCATTTATTACAGACTCATTTTGTAAACATAGAAATGTAAAAGTTTAAATTACTTACGATAAGTATATGGCGGCTGATTTACAACACGTCGTATTTTCGCTTCTTTGCCTACAATTTTTTTTTTGCATTTTTGATGCTTTTCGCATCCTTGCGTTTCGGTTAAGCAGGCGCAAATTGATAACAAATATGCTGATGAGTAATGGAGTCGATGCAACAAGGCAAAAATGCAATAATGCAAAAATGCAACAAAGCCAAAGACGAAAATTGAACAATGCGAAAATGTTACAATGCAAAAAAGCAAAAAAAAAGTTAAACTTGTCGTCTGTTTGTGTTTTCACATTTTTGTATTTTGAACGCGAAACAGCGAAAATACGACAGATGGAATGCTAATATACGACAGATTTTTTGTCTCGCTTTTTCGCTTTTTTGTCTCAAAAATCCGAAAAGGGAAAACTCGAGCAGATGACAAAGTCCAACTTTGTCGCCCCTTTGTGTTCTCACATTTTCGCATTTTGATGCAAAGAAGCGAGAATACGACATGGCGTAAATCAGCCACCATATAGGGTCAATGAAATTAAGCAAAAATTGAAGTAATAAATTGATTTCATTAATTGTTCCTAAGTATTTTCATTGAACAGAAATAAGCAAAACGCATTGTTATAAAAAACATGCAAAATTACTTTTGGTTGCTTGCCTCAGGGTGAAATGAGTTTGGGCGGGAAGTATAAATTTGTTACTAGGTTCACTTACATTTACTTTCAACATTGGTTATTTTCTTCTGACGAAATCGCTTCGTCGAAAACGAAATTAATTTTTGTTTGTTTAGGGTTTTTATTGTTAGTGCGTACGTATATGTGTATGCATATATGCTTTTCTGTTTGCTTGTATGTAAACATATCCTTTTGCGGCATGATGTACATTTAGCTGTTTAAATCAACAATGTGTTTTTGCCTCTTATGTTTTTGTATAAGATCATCTACTGTTTTGAACATTACTATTACATCGCTTTGAAATGATTATGAAATTGTTTACTTTTAATGTACAAGGTCTGGGAAATTATTAAAAAAGTAAACATTAAGCATTTAATTGGCTAAATTTGCAAAAATATGATTTATGTCATTTACAAGAATCCCATGTAAACACAAATCAATATCTTAAATGGACCTCAGATTGTGATGGACGGGCTTTTTCAGTTGAAGAACTAATAATAGTGCAGGTGTATGCTTCTTAATTAAGAGCAAATTCGATTGCAAAAACATTACATATGCAGAGATAGTTTATGGGGACATTAAATTGCATTTGCGTTTGAACAAACAACGAACACATATATAGTTATTATATTTATGGACCAACTAATATGATATCTCAATTTTTGAACAGTTTGATAAATTTATTTTGGAAGAGAAACATATCATAAAAGAAGGTGATGTCAATACTGTTTAATGTTTAGAATGAGACAAAAGAATGGTAAAAAAGATGGCAACAAAAAGAACATAATTAAAAAAAATAGTGTGTTTGATATTTGAAGAAATAAACCCCATTTGAATCTAAGCTCACTAAAAAAATATGTGATACGAAACTGGTTTAATGTGTACTTCTAACTTACAATCTGCTTTGCATGTGCATTTCGTGAATTTTCCTATTCAAATATTTGGATCCAACTAAGATGATATTTTTTGTATGTTAGGTAATGTTAGGAGAATCAAGTATTTCAAGGGAAATTATGCCTCAGCAACAATTACATTTTTCATTCTGTGGATAGGGCAATTTATGCATTAAAGTTTATAAATTTTAGTAAACAGCCGCTTTTGTCTGAACATATATAAACAGTAACATGGAATTAAAAATTCCGTTCTTTGTTGTGTGTTTTTTGTAGGTACGTAAGTTAAAATGTCTGGCTTATGATACACGCGCCATACACCTCCCACACCACACCCCTACCGCTTATTTTTACGTCTTTTTCTTTTTTTTGGGGGGGGGGGCGATGTTAGCTCAATGTGAGCTTCTTAATGGAACTGTGCCTTCGGTCTCTTATTGGAAGAGTGTCGTCAGTCGCCCGTTGGCTCATCCACAATTTCTTTAAACTATATCTCCTAAAAACGCTTGGTAGATTTTGATATAAACTTAAAATAATGATCTTTAGGTAGGCCTTTTCAAATTATTATTATTATATTTTAATAATTTTAAGCATAAAAGATAGACAATTTGTTTTGTTTAAACTTTTACCTTTTCTTTTAATTGTTACTTTTAGTAGAATAGTACAATGTAGGATTTGCTTGTACACTAAGATATTGACCAAATTTATACAATAAAAATAATGAAAATTATTCTTGGCCTGAGCTATATATAAACACACAAATCATTTTTTGCAAACGAGCACATATTTCAGACTTTCAAAAAAATAATTTCATTTATTTTGATACATTTTTATACAGTTAAAGTCAAATTGATATGGTTTTGAATTGTTAAAACCTTCAAATATTACGCATTTGCATAGTTCTATTTATACATGTGCAGAAACAGAATTGTTTGACAACTTTCTTATGTCACATTAACCTTGAGTTGGCTAAGCTGCAGCATGGGTTATTTATATTATGTACTTTATTCGATTTATTTGAACATTTAAGAAAGATAGATAGTGACAAGTTGCTTCTTGTACAAA